CGTATTTCACCAATTAGCTGCGTTTTTCTTGTTCTCTTTTGTTTCTCCCAGGTACTTTTGTTTCTCAATTATTTCCAAACAAGGATTTCTCAGAGAACACCTAATCTGAAACTAGAGCGGCTAATATAGTCCGTCTGCAATATTGTCTGCAATTAAGGAACTTAACCATCTTCATAGAAACAAAAATACACTTCTTTCATTATGTTAATAATTAATTTCTTCCAGCGCCACAGTGAAGCATTAGCAAATTACTCTATGTCGTTGATTTAACAGTATGAAAAAGTGTCATTTTTTATTTTTTTGGTATAGAAACGTGGCGAGTCTTAACGCCTTTAATGCAGATGCATAACGTGTTACATGAAGTCAATTTGGTGCGTAAAGTCCGAAATTAAGTGATTTAAAAGCTATAATGCGATTCAATTAATTTGCATCTACTTTTACTTCTTCAAATAAATTACTATTTGAAATTTATGTAAAGGGGCGTAGTATTTTTTAATTTATATTTCAGAAACAAATCTGATCCAGAAAGATCATTTTCTAAATGAACAAATATTTTGAACGTTTATTTAGAAGTTAACAGATGACTGCATACTTCATGGAAGCCAAGGGACGAATGCTTGCTTTGTGGGTGCCCAAGGACGAATGCCTACTTTGCGGAAATCAAGAAACTAATTATTTCTTTGTGGAAGCCCAGGGACGAATGATTACTTTGTGGAAGTTCAGTGTAGAATGTTTGCTTTATTAAAGTCAAGGGACGAATGATTACTTTGTGGAAGTTAAGGGACGAATTCTTGCTTTGTTTGAGTCCAAGGACAAATGCTTGCTTTATGAAAGTCAAAGGACGAATACTTGCTTCGTGGAAGTCCAGGAAGAATACCTTGCTTTGTAGCAGTCAATGGACGAATGCTTGCTTCTTCAACAAGCCCCCCCCCGGCCGTCCTCTGCCACACGAGGCGGAGCGCGTAGAGGAAGCCATTCGCGGCGCTGTGCAGCCCTAACAGGGCGTAGCGATCGGGGCGCGACGCCCGCTGTCGCGTTCCGGCCGAGCGCCCTGGCGAGGCAAGGCGAGGCGCTTCCCGTCGCCCGGCGTCGCGTGCAGGACGGGGGGTTTTTTTTTTTTTTTCCGCCCGGGGGGCGGTCGGGGGGGGGCCGCGGCTGGCCGGAGGGCGATGCGAGGGCGTCCGCTGCGCGGGGCGTCCCACGCGACGCGGTCGCTGGGCGCGGGGGCGGCCGGCCGGCGGCCGGCGCGGCTGGGCGGATCCGGCGGCGGCGGCGGTCGGGTGGCGAGGCCTTTGGGGCGCCGCGCGCCGTTGAACTTCCGGGAGCGAGATCGCTTCCGGGACCTCGCCCGCGGGTGCCACCCCGCCCCGCGCCCCGCGCTCCGCGCCGCCCCGCCCTGGGGCGTCGCGCTGCATTGTGTGCCCCGGGCTTCCGCACCCCAAGGCACCCGGAACCTGCGCACGAAACGGTGGTTGATCATTGGCGTTCGAACGCGGCGTCGCAACTCTATGACCATTGGGTGAAGTGACACCTCGATTTCCGTCTGCGGTTGCGTACTTATTATGGGCATATCTACCAAATGTTGCTAGGAGCGTAAGAAGTCTCCTTTACATTATCTTGTTCAAATATTCATTTGGTTCATCGTCTTCTGTTGCTTTCTGTCAATCTGACCTAGAATATTTTTCGTCTTATGCACTTCGACGTACAAGAAATACCGTATAACTACTGTTTACAAATGAATTCATAAATTCAAAAAATATAGAGTGTAGTGCATATAACCAGGGATCAGTTCTTTGGATTTTTATAGATCATAAAGCCGCAGTCATACTGTGTAGATATTCTGCGTAATTTTTTGCCTCAATACGTACATTATTTATAACAACATATCACTACTGTTTTTCTTTTATTTTTTTCAATCTATGCCTTGCATTTTAGTCCGCTTTTCTCATCGTGAGATACAAACTAATATTTTTTATCGGAGTATTTTTACAGTTACGTGTCAGAAATACCTAATATTAAAATTATACTTTTGTTGATCACTGATATACATGCTTAATACATAATAATTTGTGTTTTATGAATATGAACTAGTAGCGCTTAACAATAATGTAGTCCTTAGCGATTGATGCATATTGTCTCCTTGAAATCAATAGATTACGTGAAAAGACATATAAATTTGAAAGCAGATATTGTCTATCAATGTTTCTTTAGAGCATAAGTAATTGAAAATAAATACTTGAATAATTATTATCAAGTTACCGCCTTTTGAACGATTATATAACACATATTACAGGAAAATTAATGATACTTCATAAAAAGTATGGCTTTAAAAACAATGTAAATGGTAAATAAAATTGTATAATAACAATTTCTTTCTTTTTTGCAGGTAAGTACAGTCGAAAACATCCCATTTTTCAGTTAAAGATAGAGTAACGGTGAGTAAAGATTTCTAAACCCATTTGGGGCATATTTTAAAAAAAAGTACAATATATCCTAGCTACATATTCTTTACAAGGTTTTGAACAAATACTTAGTTTATTACACAAATATTTTACAGAAATGTGTGTTAAAATGAAAATAAGGATAACCCAAAATTGACTCTTGAATTACAGTTAGGACGTACATTTTCGTTTTTACTTTTTAAAACATTTATTTTTTATTATATATTTTAATGCTTTTTATCATCAGATAATATAATACATTGTTGCTAATATTTTCCTCTTGTGTTCAGTAAAATCAAACATTTCTATAATTATTTAATTTATTATACAATGAAGATACTGGTTTTTGTCATTACTGGTATTACTGGTAAATGTTATTCTACAATACTAAATGTTGTATTTTATTAATAATTATAAAAAATAATTAATTAATTAGAAAAATGAGAATGGTTTGCGTTTGTAAAAGAATTTTCAAACCAGCAGTTTCATTATTTGTTCTCAAGCAATTGCCGGAAGTTCGTGTACTATCCACGCATTGATATCTCCATTAGATTGATGAATCCTTTTTGTTCTGCCGTGCTTATTTTTTAACCAGTAATCCTACATAACAGGTATAAAAGCAGTATAATTGTTAAAAGGACTCTAGAGTAAATTTAGGAGAGAAGAAAGAATGAAGGACTGTACATCCCAAGTTAATAATTTTTTATTAAGTGAAAGACGTAACGAAAGCATCACGATGAACACTTAATTTTTTTAATTTAATCAGTGTTATATTGTTAAAAAGTCAACCCAAATTTTTTTCAAAAAAAAGTCTACCGAAAATGTAATATTCCAACTAAGATGTTCCAATTTTTCTGATAGAAAAAAAATAAGATATGCTTTTAAAAGGAATTAGACATGTTGCTCATGACTATTTGTTTTTAAATGACCGTTTCACACTCATTTAGGTAAAATAATTTAAGGAATTCTGAACTTTCTTTCTAAGAATCCGTTTTCCTGACGTCGTTTCGGAGCTTCCATAATGGTATGAGGAACAGTATCGGATGTGATGTAAGAAATACAGACATCTGTTGCACGGAGCTGGTAACTCTCTCTTGCAGCTTTGCTCTTTGTTTCGTCGCATCGATGGTCACGTCTCAGGGCGCAAGTCACTAGCAGTCCCGTCGTAAATTCCGCGTCTGCTGTTTCGCTTCGTCCTAGAATAACAAAACTCGATTTTTCCGGATACTGTATTATCGCCTCCATTTCTACTCCCAAAGAGAAAAGATTTCGTCATTGACTTTTTTCGCCGAACTTTTACTAAAGTTTGATTTATGTTTATTTGTATCGCAGTTATTTATAATAATAATAATAACAATAATAATAATAATAAATAAAATATACATATTTCAATATCTTTTACAAAGGAATTAATTAATTGTTCCGAAATAGGATGTCTGTTTTCTAAGTTTTTGACACAAACTATTTCATTACAAATATTCACAAAATGTACAATTTACATTCTACAGAAAACATTCTGCCAGTCTGGATATCCAATCTGCCATCTGGATTGGCGAATCATGTCTGCCAATGTGGCTGCAGAGCCGTAGCTGCGCCGTGGCTAAATCCTACAAGTTCGAATGCCGTGAATTCGAATCCCGCCTGAGGCATGGATGTTTGTGTGTATCCGTACACCGATACCCTGAATGTTACTTATAGTGGTCACTATATGACCATAGTCGTTGAAAAGCAGCCTTAACCAAGTAAATAAAAAAAATAAAGACTGCTGCTTAACTAACATTCAAAACTTTACGTTTCTCAAATTAAAATACATAAATATTGTTCCCTTTGTAAATTGAAAAGAAATGTTCCTACCATCGCAACCCAACAAATTAAAGTCTTCAAATTAACGACATTCAATTGTTTTCTCCTCTAGCAACTACAGGAATGTCGCATGAAATGTTACAAGAATTTTAAAGCTCTAAATATTGATATTTTGTGTTCCCGACATCGAGGTGTAACAAGTTCTCAGCCAACAAACGGATTGGAAGCTGTTGAACCATGTCACAAAAATAGCTGACTGTCGTGTCAGCGTGGGTACTGGGGAAACCCTTCTTGTGCCTCGTGGGCTGGTCCGGATGTCGTTTGGAGGCGATGGTTGCGGGTTTTTTTCACGGCCCCGACGACGTGCGTAATATTTCGCCACGGCCTCTCCGCCACCCAGAACCTCGGGCGCTCGAAAACGCAAAGAGTGCGTTCCTCCTCCGCTAGATAGCAGCAGTGCTGTTCTCTGCGCGGCGGCGGCAGCGGCGCTTTCGAGTAAAACAGAAAGTGGTCTCCGCCGCCGCCGCCGCGCCGTCCCCTCACCTTGAGTACAGTTATCCCGCGAGTCCGGCGGTGGCGGGGCCCGGCGGGGAGGGGAGCGCTCAGTGGGGCAGCGGTGTGACGTCGCGGCCGTGACGTCAGCCGGCTCCGGTGGCGGCGCGAGGCCCCGGGCGGCCCACGAGCGCCAGTCGCGCCGGACCCTCAGCGCTGTGCAGGTGCCGCCGCCGCAGCAGCAGCGGCTCAAGGAGGCTGAGCAGTACTCGTGTCGTGTCATGTGCCCCGCCACCGTCGCGCCACCCCCCGCTTCTGCCGCTGCTGCCGCCGCCGCTGCCACCCTCGCCAGCGTCTGAGCCCCACGGACTGCTCAGCGGACCATACGTGCACCCTGTGTGAATCAGTGAATTTTATTTATAAAATAATTAAACAGTGCTAACGATTCGTGAATCGATTATTAATAATCGTGAGATCAGTTGTGTGTGACTGTCGTGTTAGTTCAATCGCTTCTTTGGGTGACCAGTGTTTGGATTTTCTTTTCCCGTATTTAAAAGGTAAGATATATAATTAATATTAACGTGGTGTGTTATTGATATTCAATGAGACACCTACTTGATAGCTAATATTGAACATATCGATCAACATATTCATATTCACTTTCTTGGAAAAATTAAAAAAATAATAAATAGAATTTGGAAGGAGAACACAATTAGAAACAATTAATAAGTAGGATCTGTTGTCGATATTTCAATGTTATGGAATTGATTTTACGCATCCTGTAAGCATGATCGGTCATCGGAGGAAAGAAATGCGATCCATCACACACCTTCACTCTGTCTCATTATCTAGTTTTTCCTATATGTATTGCCAAACGTTATTTGAATATAGATTTTGATTGTACGTAATTCCACCCGTTAAGACCTGAAGACTGCTGGGAGAGTGGCTCCATACGAATATACTTTCTCTATGCCCTGTTTTCTCTAACTGCTCTATTTCGTTTCATAATCGATTTCAACCATAGAATATTTGTTGGAAATCTCCTACGTGAAAATAATTTGATTGATTCATGCATAACTACTTCAGAAATAGATACTTTTATTTCATTCTCCAATTTTTTACAGTAATTTTTATGCTAATTTTCTACAAGGGGTCGATATAATATTATAATTCTAATTTCATTGTTTGATTAAGGAATATTTAATTGTTACACTAAAATAATTTCGTCACATTTTCAGTAATGGCAGATTTAGAAGTCGACCTATTTGACACTTAGAGGTGTTTTATCACAAAATTATACCTTTTGTATCTCAGACGTTTTGATATGTGTCTTCTGAACTAGAAATCAAATATCAATAGAGAAACGAGAATTAATCAAAACTTTGTTGGTCTTGAAAGATGTCTATGAATTGTCCCTATCCGGTGACTACAAAACGTTCTCTTTCTTATGACAAGCCATTATTACTTTTTATGACAATATACTTGAAAACCAAATAGAACGTTCAATAATGAAGAGTGAATGAACGTTCAATCCTAGGCATCAAAAGATAATTCAAAACAAATCTACAGGAATTTGGAAAGCAAAGTTCGTGTATCTCACGGTGTATCTTCTTCCCGAATGTATACCGATCCACTTTAACAAAGATTTTGAAACATCTCGATAATTGCGGTGTGTATGAAAACATATCTGCAATGAGATGTCAATATTTTCGAAGGGGCCATTGTCACTCCAAAACGCTCGCATTCACCCTCCCAATTGAAAATGAGAGGTTATCTTAAAATTAGAATTACAAATTTGTATTTTATTCCAGCTTCTGTTTCTGCGCCAAAAGTTCACAAGA